ACCCCCCCCCCCCCCCCCCCCCCCCTCTTCCAACCTGTTGGAACCACCACTGCCTGGTTTGTAATCACTGGTGTGATTTGTATGGAAACATTTCATGGATTTATCGAGGAAAGTTTGGAAGTTAAAGCAGAAGATTTCTGCATTTTCTTCTTCTTTTTCAGAGAAGGTGGATTTTTGCAAAGGAGTAGGCTTGGTTAGAGATGCAGCTGTAATCCTTTCTTGAAAACACCAAAAAAAAAAAACACAGAGCAGAGCTGAGCACAGTACGAAGTTGTCCTGCATGCACCAGAAGTATATAAACAACAATGTATTGTGATGATCTACTTGTTCAAAAGGAATGCAATCAAACCCGGCAACCCTGTCAATCAGAAGGCCGCTAACTGTTGTCATGCTGAGAAACATTTGACTGCAGTGTTGACGTCTCAAAACAACATGGCCCACCTCTGTTTACTGGAGCAGACAGTGTCCATGCAACGTCTTCTCACCACTGTCAACCACAGTTGTACTGATACAGCATGACAAGCGTGTTTACCAGCTGTCACTCAGTCTCGCCCCTTTCCCGACCATTGCTTCAAGGGAGATATTCAGATGCCCTTATATTAATAAATGCATAACTTTTAACAGTGTCAAAGTTTAATTAGACGGGCCACATTTAAAATGAACGCCTTTTGGGCTTGGACAGATTTACAGAGATTCAGCTTTGCAGCAATTGAACTGACAGCAAGGCTACGTCACCTGAATCCAACAAATGGACATCCCCCATAAATCAGGTCCCGTGAATCTTTAAATGAACCATCAATATATACTCTTTAAAAAGAATCTCATTAAAAGTGACTAATATTTGGAACTTAACACATAAGTCGTCTTGGTAATGTGTTTCTCAGTGGAATTGTGTGTGTCCTCTGCAGGTGAGATTGCAGTGAACACACACGCTGTGCCTCATGCTGATAATGCCACGCACCATTTAATGAATACAATGAGGCACAGTGTGTTTGTGTGTGTGTGTATGTGTGTGTGTGCGTGTGTGTTTCAAGCTATGTCCTCAGCCACCTTGTGCCTTTTTGATGATGTTAGTTAATAATGTGACGTTCGAATAAAAGTCATCATCACAGCAAATGACAGCTGGACAGAGGGGGTCACAAATGAGTGTCGCTCATTTAAGCTGATGACTGTGACAATGTGAGCGCTTCAGTGATAAGACTAATTGTAATACGGAAGAGAATGAGGTTATCTTTTTAATGTGTTTCAGCATCATTCCGGACTTTGTACAAGGCCAACACACACACACACACACACACACACACACACACACACACATAGTTCATCTGAGCGATGATGTTGCCTGCGTGTGTCTGTGTTGGGTTTCATCCTCTACTTGTGGATTACCTTCACATCAAGGAGGAAACATCCTCATGGATAATACAGTTCATACAATATATACTAACTATACAAAAAGGAATATACAACACAGCCATTTTAGGGACTGTATAAAAATGACCCTCCAACTAAAAGAGGCACATTTAACCTTCGAGCTAGGGTTCGTAATCTTGAGAAACTAGCAAGAGTACGCTAGATAAAAAATGAACCCGAAAACCCAGCCCAATGTTGCCAACTCTCTTTCCGATTAAAGTTGCTAGCAGCGCTAGCTCCAAAACGCGCTAAATCTAGCGCAAAAGTCATCGAGTCAGCAACACTGACAGCCCGTCCTTTCAGGCCTCCCTCAGAAGCCACTCCCCCAAAAATTATCATTATGAACGTAAACTTATTCTAAAGGCAGAGCGTGTTTAAGTCCCGCCCACACCGGAGGGGAAAACAATTCTTTGCCTCCTTATCAATATTGTCAGCTACCAAACAACAGAAAAATGCCTAATGGCTGCTGTGTGGTGGGATGCACTACCGACAGGGTAAAGAACCCAGAGCTAAGTTTTTAAAATCTGCAGAACCAAAGAAACGAGAATAGAGGCAATAAGTTGTGAGGCATTAACGTGTAAAATGGGGAAAATGTGGGATCCTGACACTCAGTAGCTTAACGTTACGTGTGCAGCAAGCATTCTGTCCAAATGTCAGTTTTAGGCTAACTATATTTCTGTAAGTTACATTAAAGTATTTTGACAATTGTAATATAGTGGAATGTGGATACATCAGAAAGCTATGCAGTTTTATGTTTGCAAGTGCCTTAGATAACTACAGTAGCTTGCCATCACATAGCTAACCCTAGCTCGCTAACAGCTAAGTCTTCCCATTCCACCTTCATTTTGGGTGCTAAAAAAATCCTTTGACATGCTGAAATCAGAATTTTTTAGCTAGCTACAGACATTAGCGTGAGCCCTTGGTTGCATATTGTAGCGCTGATTGTTCCCCCCCCCTTATTTTTAGAGTATGACACGTGCCTTGTCCCTGTGATGAAGAAAAACAAAAAACATGGCTGTTGCTAGTACTCAAAGTCTTATGGAACACTCCGGTGACACAGGTAGGCAGGCAGGTAGCCCTTTCAATGATTTAATTATAGGGCCCACCACACCTTTTCAGCAAAAGAAAACAAAATACATAACCCTCTCCATTTTCTGACATTCCCACCCTGATAATTTCCCCACAGTCCCTTACTGAAATGAAATACTGAATTGTGATCCTAGAGGCTGCGCAGACAGGCAGGTTTGTAGTAAGATGAATAATGTATGCTCTCTTCTTGTATTAGGGAACTTCTATGAAGATTGCACAATTTCCACATTATTTCCTGTTAAAGAGAAATGTTTCATATTCAAACAATATGATGAATAATCAGAATTTTAATCATCCCATCTGAGTACACAAGGACAGCTATTATGGGTGCTAAATCTCTCTGGCTTGCGGCTCAAGATCTTTAGCTGCTGTTTCAGTGTTACTCCACTAGATGACGATGTGCACCTGCAGAAACACTTCATACTACGCTGAATCACTGGCTGGTTTACTCTGTACAGTACTGTATGTGTGAATCTACAACCTGCGTTCTAGGCCACTGCTATGCTGTAGTGTTAATACACCAACATATACTAGAACGTGACCATATTCAACAAATCAACAAAATGCTGTCTACATGCCAATTCCCTGTATATTCATTCAGTGTTCAGTATGTGACAGCTTCATCATACCTCACAGCCAAATGAATGACCCCGATACATTACTGTCACTATGGGCGGATTATGAGACAATGGTTTCCTGGGCACAGACATGCAAAAGACCCCACCATCCCTCAGGAGGAAGACACGCATAAATATAGTTGTTTAGCCTCTTTTTGATGTTGTTTTGTATCTTTTTTGGCATTTAGCGTGTCTTTGTAGTCATTCTGCAACTCTTTGTAGTAACTTTGCATCTCTTTGTAATCGTTTTGAGTCTCTTTGCGGTTGTTTTATGTTCTTTGTAGTCATTTTGGGTCTATTCCTGGTTGGTGCGTGTCTCTTTGAGTTGACATTTTGTAGGTGAATGCCGTTGGGCCTCTGACACTTTGGGCCCCTGGGCTTGTCCACGGTAGGCCTGTTCACTAATCCATCCATGACTGTTACTGGCAGCATTGTGTCGAGGACAGTTGGTCCCTGACTACGACCATATGTTGAATTAATGGGACAGATAACTAATGAATCATGCTTATTTAAGTGTAAACCACTTCTGTTATCGTTATACATATGGCCTATAAAGAGTCATTCATATAGGCTTCCCACACGTGTGATACTGTTACTATGATCAAAGTGAAAACACATACATTTTACGGCCTCAATACACGCAACAGACTGTGAATAATTTCTTATTTATATGGTTCAAATGTTTCTTTTTATGACTACAACACACTTTTGCGAAACAAGGTCACATGAAAGAAAACATCCCCTTCCCCGAATCAGTTCTCTATTAGCCGGCTAAAACTGGTGATCCAACTTCTGTAAGAAGCTCAGATGGCTGCGGCAAGGTGGGAGGAATATTCATGCTTTTCGAAAAGATAACAGAAGACCGGAGAGAGGGAGAGGATGAGTGATAGAGAGCCAGGCCAGTGTGTGTGTCTGTGGGAGGGGATGGGGGCTCTTGGAGAGGAAAATCAAACCCACCCAGAGCTCTTCATACGTCACCGTTCACATCACAGATGTTCCAACAGACACTTAGTGTGGGTTGTGGGCCGAGGCGTGTGGAGAGCCCGTATGGCTTCAATTGGCTTGTTTTGTGTGTGTGTGTGTGTGTGTGTGTGTGTGTGTGTGTGTGTGCGCGCGCGCATAATAATATGTAGGCCTGCTGTGTGCGTAAATGGAGACTTCAACGCTGCAGTGATAATTAAAAAGTATTCCTTTGAGTAGTAGCTGTTCTGCTTGATGCTTGTGAGTGCAGAAGAGGTGTTATTGGGTTAATAACACTCCATATATTCATGAATATTTGAAAGAAAATAAAACATTCTGCCATACTTCATAGGGGCGGGCACTGCCATTCATATTTGAAACTGTTGAACAAGGCAGAAACAGGCACTGAGATAAATACAAAAATAAAATAATGTACATCCCCTGAAATCTAGGTTTCTTGATGAAAAGGAGAACTTGTGTGGGCGTGTCCGGTTCAGTTTCCACGTCCATGGCAGAAAAGTTAAATGGGGGAGTTGTTATTGATGGAAATTAGGCTATTTAAATACGTCAGATATAAAAGAAGAGGTTAAAACCTCTCCAAAACAGCTTGAGGTGAGAGTGCGCGCAAAACCGCAGCCCTCACTCCTTCGCTCTTTTGAAGTGGTTTTCGTGAGTACTGAGAGACAGAGAGAGAGAGAGAGAGAGAGAGAGAGAGAGAGAGAGAGAGAGAGATCTTCCTTTCTGAGTACATGCCGGCTGTCTTGTTTACTTGCACGTCACACACTGCTTTAGCAGGACAGAAATCCCCCTCAGTTTTCCTGAGACCAGCTTTGCGCACGACTTCACAGAAGCATCTATGTTGGACGGATCTATGTTTTTTTTCACACACTTTATTGGCTTCACATATTTTCCAGATAATAAGCTCCCAAATGGTCCCCTAAGTCACTTTAGTGCGCAATTAACCCTCCCTCCCATCACCTCCCCCAGTTTACATTATCATTGTTATGTGCGTCTGGGGTCCGGGAAAAACCGTTTAGTGACCTCTGGGTAATAGCGTGAGTGCTTTAATGACTCATTCACTTACACCTAACGCGGGACTCCCCCCCCCCTCTCCATACATCCATCCATCCTTTGAGCCCCCTGGTGCCGCACATATTTGGCCTCTGACGAGTCCCACAAGAATGTTGTCCTTGGCAGCGCGCACATATCCGTCCATCCACACAAGATGCTCCCGCGCGCTCCCGACGCCCACTCGCGCCTACCGCTCTGCCAAGCGGTGTGGCATCTCGAGACGCCCCCGGCATTCCTGGAGCCACTGTCACTTCCCCTCCTGCTAATCTTTTTTTTTTATATTATACTGACACCTCAAATATGTACTGCGACGGTGACGCGTGTGTGCCACCGACAGGTTGCTCCCGACGGATTTGAGAATGTAATTAAGGCTTTATATTGATTCATTTATAATAAACCTTTTTATCACAGTTCGCGTTTCACAGTGAAAACGGTGCTTTAAATGCTTACTTCCTGCTGTCATTTAGCAAATCTATCTAAATACAACAAGCTTGTTAAGTCTAAAGTTTCATAATAACAAAAGGAAATTCCGCCACCCTCGCGGAGCTCGCAGCCCTTATCGAGAAGCCCTTATCGAGAAGGAGGGAGAGAGATGGAACTAGTGTGCGTTACCTGGGCGGGGGTTTCCAGAAACCCTCCCCTGTGACGGAGTCTTCACCAGCATGCCCGAATATGGACAAGCCCGTGCGTAACAAGGAAAGGCCTACGTGCGCGTGCTATACGCTCTGTGCGTAAAAACGCGGAAACCTGAATGTGCTTGTGTCAGGACTCCTCACCGGGAGCTATGGCAACTGTTATTGTCACAATGTGGAAGTACAGAAACCCCATTTGTGATCATCTATTCCCCCCACTCTTTATGTGGGTTTCGTGTGATACTGATATGAAAACAAACACTCAAGTCCACTATTTTTTCGTTTCATTTGGAGACACTTTACTTAAATACACATCACAAATAAAAAACAAACAAAAAGACAGTGTAAACATTGGACGTCATTGGTTTGGCCGGATCAACCGGACAAACAAAAAATAATTTACACATTGAATAAATGCAGCACTGCATGACATTATCGGTTGCAAAAAGTACAAAGAAATACACTAATTATTCCCACGTTCTACCATTAGTAAACCCCGACTCGTGGGTCTGTCTGTGCACGCCGCGCTGCTCAGTGTCTGCTCGGTCTGGATGCTGCCCCGCGGTTTCAGGGGTTGAATGGTGCTTTGAGCGATGTCCAGCATCCGGAAGTACCATTTTTTCTTTTCACCCCTAAATAGCCTAAAGAGTTTGTTCTACGCACAGCTCGGCGGGCCTGTGCTGCTGTCCATGCTGACAGCACACCAGCCCGGTGTCCCGGTGCCGCGCGTGCAGAGCGCGACTCCAGTGTTATTACTTCTCAGTCAGTTAGTAGTCTCTGTCGTTTTAAAACGCCTCCAACTTGCTCGTGAGCATCAGCTGACAGCCGCTGCTCACGTGTGTCAGGACCTTCTGCTTGAGCTGCGCGACCTGATCCCGGAGCACCGACGCCGTGTTGGACAGCCCCACGTTGTCGTTCTTCAGACCCTTCACCTTATCCTCCAGCCGGGAGATGCGCTCCAGCTTGCGCCGCCGGCACTTGGTCGCCGCCAGCCTGTTCCTCAGCCTCTTGCGCTCCGCCTTGATCCTCTCCTGGGTCTCCAGGTTGATCGGGGACATGGGAGGCGAGCCGTCGCTGCTGAGCAGGTCGGGAACGGTCTGGGGCTCCTCTTTCAGTGAGACGAGCCGGTGCGGATGGAGCGCGGAGCCCGGGAGAGCGTGCTGGAACGGGTGCGCTCCGTGCGGTGCGGACTGCGGGTGGCTCTGCTGGTGCGGCGGCAGATAGCTGATGGTGGCCGTTGGGTAGCTGGACGCGGAAGAGAGGCTCGTGTTCGGGCAGTAGGCGTTCAGTGTGGTGTAGATGGGAGGCTCCGGCTGCAGGGCGGAGCCGAAGATGCCAGAGGCCGCCGCTACCGCTGCTGCTGCCGAACACGTCGTAACTCCGCCGGCTCCGATGGACACGTTGGGAGGGGGCATCTGGTTCATCTTGTGCAGCTCGTCCAGGGCTTTCACGAAGCCGTCGGCGAAGCCCTCCTGCTCATCGGTGATGCCCCGGTTGTAGAAGAACTGGCCCGGGGTCGGGGTGGTGATCACGCCGTTACTGTTCTGGATGATGAGCCTCTCCAGCTCCGGGGACGCGAGCTTCAGCGACCCCACATCATGGTGCCCCCCTTGGTACGGGTCTATCTCGGCCCTCAGCTGGGATTTCAGGCTGCGGTAGGGCTCTGTCAAGTTCAAATTCATATTCATATTCTGCTTTAGCAGTTTGTAGTCGTGCATGGCTGCGTCCGACTGACCGTAAGCCGACAGAAAAGAGTCGTCATGGTAAAAGGGCTGTTCCATCTTTGTAGACATAAAGTCGTAAGAAAAACAAGTGAGCTTACCAGCTGCTCTTTTTTTTTTAGAAACAGTCTCTCGATAATCAGTAAAATGTCAGTGTCAGCAGAGAGCGTGCACCAACTCGTCGTCTCTCTCAACAGTGTCCCGAGTTATTCAAAAAGGGGATTTCAATATCGCTCCCAAAAAAGAGTGAAAGTCCAAAGTCCAACAAACAGCTCAGTGTCAGAAGTCTTTCTTCAGTGTCTGATCGCTGTTGTCTTTTCTTCTTCTTCGCAATCCCGCGGAGGAAAAACAAGTTATAACTCGGTTTGGAATTCCTAAATTCTAAATGATGCTTGGTTCTCGAGCGCTCGTTGAGGTGTGTTCGGTCGGGTCGGAACCGTGCCTATTTATATAGGCATACACACGCGCTCTCGCTGTCGGGGCAATGCGGCGTCGCGATTGGGCGAGCAGCTCGGAGTCCACGCCCAGCGAGTGCGACGTTGAGTGACGCTATTGCCGGGAAGAGGCAACTGTAAACAAGCCTGTAGGCATGGGAGAGAGAGAGAGAGAGAGAGAGAGAGAGAGAGAGAGAGAGAGAGAGACCGTCAGAAATAGAAGAGTCCGCTTTATTTATCTTTAGTTATACAGCCTTGTAGGTTGAATAAGCGGCCCGTTGGATAAGCGAAGAGGTGAGGTGTCTCTGTTAGAACAAACCAGTGCTTTTTAATTCACCCGTCCATGTTGTTACGTTGTAAACAAATAAAAAATAATAGCGCTTATTATTATTTGTTTGAGTTAATCTACTTTTACAAATGTCACATTAAATACGTTATCAGCTCATGTGCACGCGATGTTCGCCCCCATTAGATATGAATTATGGCCTCTATATAAAACGCCGGACTGCTATGCTGTTTATTTTGAATCCACGCTGCGGAGGAAGTCCTAAATCCTTAAATGGGCACGGTGACGTTCCGGTTTCCTCTCCGGGAGAACCGGGAAGCCACGCCCAGCCGGGCCTCATTCCAGCGGCAGTCCTGCTCCAGCTCCTGAATAAAAAAAAACATCCATGTGTTTGCGACACAGTCGGGGACTTTCTGTCTCGTGTGTGTGTGTGTGTGTGTGTGATCAGTGACAGAACAACCCCCCCCCCCACACACACACACACAGACACAGAGAGTATCCTGACAGGTTTGCGAGGTACTGCTGATGTCGGGCAGTAACCTGAGTAACCCTGCTTTGATCACGCGTGGGAAATACAGGAAACTTTGTCCCACCACGAGCCGAAAAACAGTCAATTATCTCAAGCAGGAAGATAATTGTCGCCTTTTGATGTATAAAGCCTGTTTCACAAAAACGAAAAGGAAAAAAAACAACCTTCATTTGGTTTTGCTTTTCAGGTAATTGGGAGTTGCGGTGCCCTCTCTAAGAGCGCAGAGAAAGGAAATGCGATTCCTCAGTCGCGCACCTGTTTCAGTTGCGGAGAAGGGAACCTTTGTCTCCTGTTTGTAATTCTTCCAACGCCCACGCAAACACAAGTGCCTCCGCCGATGTAGCCCACATCGCCGCACAGACAAAACGAGCAAGGTAGGATGCTTTGCTTCGCCAGGCGCTGAATTCTCCAGGCTGCACCTGAAGGATGACCAGGAAACACATCAACAACAGATGACTTATTTACAGGTGTCGGCTGGAGACGAGGCCAGAATACATTCACTGAGTAATGAAACGAAACAGGCAGGAAATCCGTCTGGATCAGTGGTATACTTTTGTTGTTGTTGTGATCCCCACAGCTCTATCAGAGGAGCTCGAGGCCCTGATTCATCGACACTGACATGTTCCAAATATGTTCTTACGAATCAGAATAACACCATTAATTATACAAAAGTGGCAACAATATTTCCATACTATTGAATTGTCAATGCCACTTAGAGTAACAGTAGCTGGACGCTATTTCAACTGTTTATTCACTCTACTGCTCTTTACTTAAAGCTACTACAAGGAACTTTTAAATTGCTTTGATTTTGGCGGTCCCTATGAGCATAAGTGGTAGTGCTCCCGAGCACCAGAGTCCCTTTAGAAAGCCTCTTTTTTTTTTACTGCAGCAGGATCTGATGGCCTTTCACCGCTCGGTCTTGGTTCTGGTTCTCCCGGGGCTCCCATTCCCTCCAGTGGACCCGGCGTGTTGTTGGTGCCCAGCGGGGACCGGCGGTGCCGCGAGGCTAAGCTCTGCTCCTTGACCGAGGAAGGAGACGCTGCTGCCAGGGAGCGGAGCTCCGACTGCAGGTTGAAGTGGGGCAGCAGGGCTGGATCTGGGTCTGTCCGTGGTGGGCTGGTTGCTGCTTAGTTGGAGGCCCTGATGGAGTCTGAGCTAGAGGAGTTTCTGGTCAACCTGCATGATCTTGTTTGATTTTGGCAACAATCCAACCCAGTGGTTTTGTAGACAATTGCATTCAAAATAGCTGTATGGAAATAGGCAATCTTCTCACTGATGGTCTCGTTTACTTATATTGATAATATAGACGCATCAGATTTACATTGAAAACGTTTCATAACTAGTTAAAAGTTCCTCACAGTAACTTTAAAATATAGTTAATTACAAAATAGAACCCAGCAAACTCCCATATTAAACAAGAATATCATCATATTTTAAAATATTACAAAAGAGGTGCAGCCCCACCCTTAAATGTTTAACCATTGCCGTTGTCATCCACAAAAATGTCAGTCGGTTGTGTATCCAACCTGTGCCGGAGAAGGGGGGGTGGATCTAGCTTTCAACAGCTTTTCCCTTCAGCACTGAACACTCACAAGTACCCTGTGGCAACATGTACTTGCTGTGAAAAGTACATGCTGAGATATTTGCTCAGACAGACCCTGTTATCATGTTACGGCTTAAAGAGGGAAACACTCCTGTTAGGACAGAAGTTACTCAACGTCTTTTTTCAAATATTACAGCAAGGAGAAGACAACTGTTCACCATCTTCGCGACATGACTCGAAAGTTGGCCTGAAAGTCTGAAATCCCAACTTTTAGGGTCTCCGCGCCTGATCACAATGACCTAATGTCAAGTAATTCTCTGGTATTCTGAGCGACTATTTTAATTCTATGCCTTTTTGTCCGTATCCATGGAAATATGAATAAACAGAGGAAAACAACGGTTCCTGGCAGTGTTATGCCTCCACTTTGCCACCTCCCTTATAAATTCTATTCTCTGTGCAGCTGCCTGCTTCTGCTGCTGCTCTGCTCTGCTCGGGTTTACGTTTTTTATTCAGCGCTGCGGTAGAGGCTGACCACAGTCCCAGTGACATTTTGGCAAAGCACAACAGTATAGGGTCCACAGCGGTAAGTGTTTACGGGAACACTCGTGAGGTGGCACCGTGCCATCCTGCCAAATGTTAGTCAAAAAACACCCATGTTACTCAACCAGTGGGAGGGACAGACGTGTGAACGTTCAGACAGATGTACAGTGTGTTCCAGATAAATATGTGATAATTTCTTTTGTCCTGAACAATCTCTGTTGATCACCACATCGTGAACAATGGTGCTGTGAATTTTGGGCGGATTCAGCTCTAAACAACAACATGTGGTGATTAGTTGAACATTTCAGTTATCAGGTTTCAGCTTTTGCGAAAAAAAGAAAGGAAAAAAAAAAAAGGTGGCCGACGTCTTAGTCACATCTTGATTAGTCACATCTCAGTTCAGTCTGTTTAGATTTAGAGATGGTCTGTGTACTCGAGTACAGAAATTCCTTCCTCTGACTTCTGCTTTTTTTTCTTCTTCTAAATAAGCCCAAAAACTGCGCCAGGCTTTTGTGTTCATGTTCTTTATGCATATTTTTTTGGGCAAACTTTCAAAGAGTTCCAGGGCAGGACAAGCTGCTTGGCAACAGACTCGGTTTAACAGTCGGGATCACATGGACGAGTGCCAAAACCAACTGAGTGTTACCTGCTCTGGTTCCTGGGTGAGTTGGGGAAAGGCAAGGCCTGAGGGTGGAAAGAAGCTGTTTCCCGTAATATTAAGCAAAGTGTGGGTGTGTGTGTGTGTGTGTGTGTGTGTGAACAAGCACGTATATCACTTAGGGTGGAGTATACATGAGTGTAGAATTTGTTTGACCACAATGTGAACATCTACTTGAAGGGAAGCGATAAGAAAGATTCAATGGAGTGGTTATTCACCATTTCCCGCTTTGGAAAATGTTTTTACTTCTCATTAAAGTGGTTTTTTTTTCTGATCCTCATAGATGTAGAATGAGCTGTTGACATTTTGTGGCTTCATTCCAAAATCAAGTAAGTAAAGGAGGGGCATGTTCAAAAGCAAAGGTGCCTTCTTTGATGCCCCTATTGTAGATAAACATGATAAAGTGCCCTTTAAGATGTCCTTCCAGTGGAGAAAACATGATAAAGTGCCCCTTAGGATGCCATTCCAGTGGAGAAAACATGATAAAGTGCCCTTTAGGATGCCCTTATTGTAGATAAACATGATAAAGTGCTATTTAGGATGCCCTTATTGTAGATAAACATGATAAAGTGCTATTTAGGATGCCCTTATTGTAGATAAACATGATAAAGTTACCTTTAGGGTGCCCTTCCAGTGGAGAAAACATAACAAAAAGCCCTTTAGGATGCCCATCCACTGGAAAAAAGGCAAGGCAAGGCAAGTTTATTTGTAGAGCACATTTCAACAACAAGGCAATTCAAAGTGCTTCACATAAAACCATTAAAACATCAAAACATAAGGCAAAATAAAAGGAGATTTAAAAACATTTAAGAACATTGATTGAAACATTAAAAACAGTCATTAAAACACTAAAAAGCAGTGTAAGAAATAAAATACAGTAGTATAGTAAAATGCAGAAATTGATTAATATCCTTGAATGTGGTTCAATTAAAGGCAGCAGCAAACAGAAAGGTCTTCAATCTTGATTTAAAGGAGCTGAGGGTCTCAGCAGACCTGCAGCTTTCTGTGACTTTGTTCCAGATATGTGGAGCAGAAAAACTGAACGCTGCTTTGTTTAGTTCTGACTCTGGGAACAGAAAGTAGACCGGTCCCAGACGACCTAAGGGGTCGGGATGGTTCATAAGGTAACAGCAGATCAGAGATGTATTTTGGCCCTAAACCATTCAGTGCTTTGTAAACCAACAGCAGGATTTTAAAGTAAATTCTTTGTTGGACAGGAAGCCAGTGCAAAGACCTCAGAACTGGGGTGATGTGATCCACCCTCCTGGTCTTAGTGAGGACTCGAGCTGCAGCGTTCTGAATCAGCTGCAGCTTTCTGACTGACTTGTTACAGAGACCTGTAAACACACCGTTACAGTAGTCGAGTCTACTGAAGTTGAATGCATGGACAAGTTTTTCCAAATCCTGTCCAGACATAAGT